AGAATATTCCGACGATCGTATTCGTTCGTTTAATTGCGACATATAATTGCGCTCTTGGTGCGATTTATTTAATCCCTCTTTCACACCTGCTTGCAAGAAGGATACAATTCCATCGTAATTCTAAGCTCGGCAAGATGTCGATTACGTCGTCTCTTAAGATTCGTTGTAGTTATATATTTTTTCTCAAATTTTTCATCTGTAAATTATGTTTTGTTTTATGAATAAATGGCATTGTACTAAAAAGTATTATTACGTAGTAATTATTTATAGTCTTTTAATTATAATTCGTATTGGAAATACCTTCTAATTGTAACATGAAAATATGTTTCTCTTATTTGATTTAGTCTTTCAACACACAAACAAATATCATGTGTTATTGAATTTCACAAAGAAAAAAATTGAGAAAGATAATTTTATGCGACGAAAGAAAATTTCGGATATTGCAACACGAAATATTGTAAATATACAGAAAGATAAAGTTTTGCTAATTATCTTTAGCAACCGATTTAATTCCGATTTATATGCTTGCTTTATATTTTGGTCTAATTATCTTGAACTTATGCAACTTAAGAAAATAGTCGATTTGTTGATACGAAATGTTCACATTTCTAGAGTTCTAGATTTACAAGAGCAGCGCAATTCTCTGATCTTTGCGGATGCCGATAACTTTCCTATCGGCTATTTCGATTTTGATCGTCTATCATTCAATAAGTAAATAATAAATAATAAGTAAGTTTAGTAAATAAGCCAATAAATAAGTTTACAATTAGTAATTCTTTAATATATGATTATTAGGTAAAAAATGGCGGACTTTTGTAAATCTAAAGCTCTACACATTTCTCTATTTGTCCTTATTTATCACGAATCAAAAGTACTCTGAATTGCCTGCGTTCGACCCGCTGACTGCAAAAATCGCGATAGGAATCGCGACTCAGGATAGCTATGATGCAATCGATATCGATGAAATTCCATCCGCGATCCATTCATCGCGTTATGTTAAGCTCGAAATTGCAAAAAAAAAGGATACTTTTTGCACAATGTGGAGGAGATTGGAAGATGATTTTCATCATATGAAATTTGTATCCTTTTTCATTATTTTCTAAATCTGAATCAGTGGATAATTACTAATATCAGTGCCAAGTATGCCACTGATAATTAGTGAATTAAAAATATGAGATCCCTAACTTAGCTAATCTTTATTATGAGATCTAACTAACCTCATTTTAATGCTTAAATTCAATGAATACAGTATTGGGATTAACGTGAAAATGTCAGTATTTTAGTTCTATAATGCTCAAACATTCTTCTTTTTTTAATTGAACTTCACTGATTATTAGTGCTAAGTATGCCACTGGATAATTAGTGATTATCCATTGATTCAGATTTAGAAAGTAGAAAATTAGATCACTCTATGTTTAAACGTGGTGTATAATTAAAATTTACGTAAATCATTTTTTTTCTTCGTGCTCTATTATATATAAATATCTGATTTATCGAAATCACATCTCATATATGAAATTATTATCATTTTATATATATATAATAACTTCATATGTATGAGATTTGATTTCGATAAATCAATATATTATAATCATATGTTATTATAATAACACATAGAATTCTATTTTTATTAAGATTTATTAAGAATTAAGAAAAATTTACCGCAAATCTCCCAATTTGCTCGCACATTTTTACCGAGCCATTAACAAGAAGAAGTATATATCGCGCAAAGGGAAGAAATAATATACGATGCATTCAAGAGACAGTTGCAAGAATATAATGGGTCTGTATTTTTATTTCTGTATTAAATTGCACTAGAACTCTCTCGCTTTCGCCAAATATCAAACATATATACCTCTAATTTTAAGTTCCAAAAGTGTATACTAGTTCAACTACAGAAAACAGACCTAATATCGCGAATAATGCTCAGTAAGTCTCAGGACTTCTCGAGATCGATCGTGGCTCGTTCTGAACGCAAGGCCGCTCAGTACGCCGCATTCACATTCGCGAAGTTTATGAAGAAATTTCTCACCGTTCGGTACGCATTCACTCGGTACGGACGTGCGGAAAATTCTCGCAATTCATCTCGTTCGCTTATTATACATACATACATATATGTATATATATCATCAATATATGACTGTATATATATATGTGTATATATATATATATATATATATATATATATACACACACACACACACACACACACACACACACAATACATATATTTCAATATATATACTTATATATATGTGACGCGATTGTCAATGAATTCGCGCGCTCGTCGTTTGCGTCGCATTAACGACGACGATAGATCGTGTTTGTATCGCGCATTCAATTCTCCGCACTTGACGAAGCTTAAGCTTTTCTCGCCAGAAAGTGCGGTGTATATCTTTCCGTTGCCCCGTTATGTACCTCTGTTTTCCTTTCCGCTTTATTTCTTTTTTTTTTTCTACCCTACATTCACATTTCTCGGCTGATTCGCCGCGAGATGTCGGTATAAAAATTACGGTACATGGTGAGGATGGGCAGAAGGAGTAAACAAGGACTCACAAATTGTTATATTCACCTGTTCCGTTCTCCCCGCTCGGCCGGATGCGCGCATCGTATCGGCCTGGTCCTAGGATGTTGTCGAGCACTTGCTTCTCTTTCTCCCGAAAGTTCACTTTTGGCTGCGTACATCTGGAAGAATGTACCAACGATGTCGTCGGTATTATAAAGAAAAAGAAATCTAATTTCTGAAGAGAAAATTTCTTAATGCCCTAATTGTCGCCATAAGTAAATTATAAAAATATACAATAACAATTACAGCAGTTAAATGTAATATAAAAATATATAATAATAAACAATTATTAACAGTTAAATATACAATAATAATAGATAATAATAGATAACAGTTCTGCTAAAGTATTTAAAAATTTAGCTAGATATGGATCTGAAAATAATTTGATTGGATTCTCAAAATAATTATGTAGGACATCCAAATTGATAGGTAGAATGTCAAAACTTGTTAGTGTTAGTCATGTTTGAGTTTCCTATATAATTATTTTTCCAGGAAACTATTTTCGAAACTGTATCTACCTAAATTTTCAGATATTTTTAAAAAATCATTATTTCCATGCAAATAGATTTCTCTCTGACCTTTTTAAAAAGTTCGTGTCAAATTTATTTATAACTTTATAGTATTTCTAATCGTAATGTA